CTGAACACCACTCAGTCAATCTGTTAACCTCATCTCTGTAGTCCGACTCATCCCCCCTTGAGATGAGTCCAACCACTGTGGTGTCATCCGCAAACTTTATGATGGTGTTTGAGAGATGGGTAGGGGAGCAGTCGGATGTGTAGAGCGTAAACAAGAGGGGACTAAGAACACATCCTTGTGGAGACCCGGTACTGAGTGTGATGGTGCTGGACAGGTGGGGGCCGAGTCTAACAGACTGTGGTCTATTTGTCAGGAAGTCCTTGATCCAGAGACAGATGGAGGTGGAGAGTCCCAGGTGAGACAGGAAAAAAGGAAAAAGGAAAAGGAAAGGAAAAAAGGAAAAAGATCAGTTATTTTATTGTTTTATTTGGGTTAGGAAATTGAAGGTGGGCTCATTTGTTCATACATATCCGTATGCAATTAGCTTCATTCTCCCTTTGTTTTCATTTTAAGGATGTGGATCTTGCAAGCAGAGAAACGGAGCAGCTGACTTTGAGAGTCTATGTTGTCAGACATGAAGGAACAGACTCTGCAGATTTACTTGAGGACATTGGTGTCATCACAGAATGATGCACTGTGCTGCAAGCTCTTGGCAAAGGGGTGTGCCCTCCTGCTTGGACTAATCTACAGTCTGAGGTACCCAAAGCACCTGAAATACACATTTAAATTTCTTCAGAAGGTGCTGATGGAGTTGGATGGGAACAACCTATCCATGAAGGTGCAGGTTCTGAAAAACAAACTGCATGAGTGAAACAGCCTGCACTGAACTATAGAGGACACTGAACTGGTTACAAGATTCTCAAACCTTCTCCTTGCACTTTATAAACTGTTCAGTTTGAATTCCGCAAGAACTTCTGCAAGGCGTCTGACTTTTCGGCATTCTTTGTTCTTGTTGAACCTTTACCACCATCCAGCTACATTGAAAACGACTGCTCCTAAGTTTGGACTTCAGTTTACGTTTTGAAAAAAAAAGTTTTAAAATATGGACAAAAATGCCACTAAAGTCCCTTCTACCTGCTGTTTATAGAACTGCATTATGAGTTTTCCATTGTA